CTTCAGCCCTCTGTCTTTCCTCAAACTCTCTGTCATCACCGCTCTAATTTTTCTCTCGGCTCACTCTGTCTCTCTCTCATTTTTCTCTTCTGTCTTTGTATCATTCACAAGACACATGCAATCAATATATAGGTAATTCACTGACCTCAAAAAAATCAGCCAACAAACCCACATGAACAAATCAAAGCCAAGTGAAAATTGGTCAAACAAATCCTAGTGGGTCCCAACCAACTTTCTTTTCTTTCTTTCTTTCTTGCCTTTTCTCTTTCTCTTTCCAAATCTGCCGCCATCGGCTCTCTTCTATCACCATCCTTATCACCATATATATATATATATATAAAGCAACAAAAAAATTAATATATATATATATATATATATATATATATATATATATATATATATATATATATAATTAAATCAAAAACCAACTCATTACTCCATCTCCTGTGGGGCCCGCCACGACATCATTACAACTTTTCATTTCCTCGTTTCCCACTTTCAATCGACCACCTTCCATTTCCTTTGCAATAAATATATATATACAATTGTAAACAAAATCAAATCACCCATTAATAACTCCTTTCGCGGGCCTATCATCATCATCAATTTTACTCAATTTTTCCTCTAATATGGCTGCAGCACCTTTTGCTTCTCTCCTCTAATTCGGCAAATAGCTGGCAACACAAAAGCATACTATATATATATATAATATAATAAAAACTATATATTTCCACAAATAAAGATTTACAAATCCTCCAAATCCAAGACCATCTCTAAATATCAATCTTGACAATTTAAAAATGGTGAAATAAATATAATAAAAATCTTAAAAATTTGGGTTGTTACATTATCATAGAGGCCTTTCACTTTCGACGCAATAGGGTAGCAATATGTTCTTTGCTATCATCCAATACCTCTACTGTTGCATCTCTTTTTGCCATTAGCTTGGCTAGAACCCCCCTCGCCACACCTCTGTTGCCCCCAGATTGACTGGAATTGCAGGCACAACTGCCTTAGGTACCGCATCGTATGTAACCTCACCCATCTCCGAGGCTAAGGGAGCTATTATTGACCTCTGACCTCATACTCCTGGTTTAGGCATGCGTAGAGACACATCATCCTTGTATATAGCCACTGGCACGTATGGTTAAGGATTCTACAAACAGAACATCCTAAAGGCTCCCAAATAATCTGACCAAAATTGCCTATAGCATCCTGTAATGTCCCCCATGCGATTTCGCGATGGAATCACGATATTCCCAATATTCTCCTCAGCTAAGTCCTACTGCATAGAGAACTGAAAGAGGGCTTCTTCCAGCTCCTCGTACTTCTCTACCAAGTCCCAAAACCCTGGTATCCCCTGATTATACCCAAACTGCCTAGGCACACGCCTAGGATTGTAAATCTTCAACACATCGCCCAGCTCAAACCGTCCAGGCAGATAGCCTGGCAGCACCACCAGGGAAAACGTCTGCTTATCCGTGTCCCAAGGAACTCGTCTCGGGTTGAACACCCTTGCCTCTTCCTAATAGAATTCCACATCGACCACCCTAGCCACTTCCTCCCTATACGATCTAAATATAAACTCTCACTTGAAGTCAATCACTTGTCCCAACGGCACCTTCCACATCTGACCCATCCAGCGTCTTCCTCGCGCCCCTTGATCTTCCAGCTCTAACGGAAGGGGCCTATACGAGGGAAATCGCTCATGTATACAGAAACATTTGCAAAAACTCAGTCGCCACGTAGGACACCATGAGATATCAACCAACTAAACGTGCACAATCCTCAGCAATCATATCCTGTCACTGATATAGAGTACCCAAATATAGAGGCCCCAAGGGGATGGCAACCCCACTCACTATCTTCACCACTATTTGGCACCATCGACTTAAGAGTGCATCATTTGGAGTCTCTGGAAACACATACTTCGACAACCAGTACAACATATACGCTGCAAGTTCAACTGGATGCCTAATTTTGTCCTTGTCGATCGATGGCCGCTTAGATTTGTCACCCTTATATGAAGGTTGCAAATCTTTGAACCAATATCGAATCCAGGCCCCTATCGTGCTCTTCTTAGCCCCTTCATCCTTTTCACTACGAATGGCCCCCTTCGTACTAAAAAAAGGACCCATAACTTTTAGTTTTCTCTAGACCTTCTTCCAGCGCAGCCATGATGGCTTTCTCCACCTCATCCATCGCCAAGGGCATAGTAAACCCTCTACTCATAACATGCAAACCAAGTAGTTTAGCCACATCCTCTAGTTTGGGTATGAACTCCCCCCACTTCGCAATAAAAGTGTGCGTCACACTGCACCACCGTGACAACAGAAGTTCTAGCCCTGGACCATTACGTGGCACCCTCAACTTGTGAAACAGACGCATGGCTCAAGCTACCCTCGCCTGTCGCAACCACTTCAAGTACATCTTATGAGAAAAAAATATACTTAGACCACCCATCCCACCCAGCACAAGGGCCCATAGGTGCCTTAAAGTCCATAAAACAGTAAGGGTACATCCCTTGTTCAATGGCAAGCCGGTGCACATAGTCCGCCGGCGACTAGGCACCTCCTTCCATGGCGCCTTCATCCTCCATTAATTGGGCTACCCCACTGTCAATCTCATCTATGGTGACATCACCAGTGGATGTCCAGAACTTATCCACTGGCCCAAAGAAAGGAACCATCTTCCACTCTTCCTCCAGTGGCACTTCCGGAACAGGTTTGCCAGATTTACTTAACTCCTTCCTCTTGGTCATTTCAACAAATACCCTCACTATTGGAAAACCTTCTGTTTCTCTCTTAAGAATTTCGACTCACTACTATACTTTGAATAAAGCCACACCAGTAAAAACGTTCCACAAGGCACTATTTCCCTACAATATTTGTCCGTTCTTCTCTTCCACTATGTTCACCCTTTATATAGACGAGCAGTTTCACATTTGGGGAAACGAAGGTACTGAACAACCACACATTGAAGAGTCACCTCTCATTACTCCAAAACTGACAGCATACGAAAAAGTACCAGTTTCCAAGACCACCAACTAACGCGCCTTTATGCACGCGCCGCATTTCTATTTTTAAAATTCAAAATGCCAAGTGCAGGGGGACTAAATGTGGATGTGGTTCAGCCATGTCACCAAAGGTCAAGTCAAGATGACCTCACGACAATACCATCTTTGAGCAAGAAGACAAAAATGATAACACTTAGACGAAATAGTCCACCTTAGTAAAAGCAATGATCGACCAATGGGCCTCGAACCCTAGCCCAACCAAATGAATTGTCGATCGACGAGCCTTGAACCTCGATTCGACCAAGCCATGAATGGTCGATCGACAGGCCCTGAACCTCGATCCTACCAAGCCATGAACTGTCAACCGATGGGTCTTGAACCTCGATCTGACTATGCCACAAACTGTCGATCGACGGGCCTTGACCCTCGATTAGAGCCAAGCCATGAACTGTTGATCGACGGGCCTTGAACCTCGATCAGAACAAGCCATGAACGGTCGACGGGCCTTGAACCTTGATCCGAATAAGCCACGAACAGTCGATCGACGGGCCTTGAACCTCGATCCGACCAAGCCACGAACAGTCGATCGACGGGCATTGAATCTTGATCCGACTAAGCCATGAACTGTCGATCAACGGGCCTTGAACCTCGATCCGACTATGCCACGAGGTGTCGATCGACGAGCTTGATATGGAGCTCCGATCCGACTCAAACATGAACTGTCAATCGACGGACCCTAAACCTCGATTAATTTACTTAGAACCGTGCTTTCAGAACAAAAGCAATGGAAGGTTATGGTAGGTCCCTTCAAGGCCAAGGGGAATGCAAAAGGGACTTTGGAATAGAGGATGGAAAATTAGTAATGTGTTACTCACTAAGGTAAGACCCAATTTGAGGATAAGGGCAAAAGACAGCTGGAATAAGTATAACTATCTTTACTGTTAACCTTATTTGGATCACTCAATGAGAAAGGTACACTTGGCGGCAACACCAGAAAGATAAGGATTAGGCAACATGATCCAACAGGGACATGGGACCTGACCCACTTTCGACCTGGAGGCCCAACAAATATCATGTGAGTGACCTAAGGCTATAAAAAGGGAAGTGACAAAGAATAACAGGGGGCATACTCCAATCCATTGCTCCAATTCTCTCACTGGACTCGTTTTATCTCCCTTCTTCTCCTCTTCTGCATTCTTCACATTGTTTAGTTTTATTTTCCTAGGTCCTTTGACTATTCAACCATCCTCAAGAAACATGTATCTACAGGAGTCAAGTCCGAACAAATATTGCCTCGTTAGGTTTGTGGTTCATGAGTAGACTTGTTAAGAGAGGGCATGATATTAGTGAGGAAATGTAGGTTTTGTGTTGGTGATTTTCAAAGTGAGGACTGGCAATGATGATGAGAACTATATATACCTGGTAAAAAAAATTATAGAAGTGATTTATCCATTTATGGAAATAATATATATATATATATATATATATATATATATATATATATATATATATATCAGTGAAAAGTATTTTACATACTGTCATCAAAAGACAACATTTTTGTTTATTTATTTATTTGATAGTTCTACATAACAAGAGTGGTTATTACGAGCTTTAGAAATGCCAAACATGCACTAATTAATACAAATAGAGAGTTAAAGCTAACAAGTCTGCTTTAGAAACCTAGACACATGTAGTCATTTGAAGGCAGAGGCATTGGGATTCCAGTTTTTGCTTATAAATGCTGGAGCTTCATGAATTATTTTCAATGCTTGAGCTTAAATGATGGGCACAGTTAAAATTTAGTCTTTCTCCATAATATAGACTAGACGACCATATTAGGAATAGGAAAAGAAACAAAAGTTTTATATATAGAGAAACTTGGCCTCTTGAACATAATTTATCCCCCCCAACATATAACACAGTGTATGATTATATTGAAGTTCTCAACATTGATTCAACATATATAGAAATAATAAGCAACCATTCAACCCCTCAGGATAGAAGTTTTCAGCCGAAAATCATCTCTCTCAATTAGCTCAAAGACGCAAACATCTCCTGCTTTCAGAGTGTTATCTTTAACAAATGCTTTCCAACCCTTAGAAAACCTAGCTATGCGATTCATATAGGTTTTCACACTCACAGGCCATGACTTAGCTGAGATGTGAAGAATAGCATTTCCTTCACCCTTTTCCATGTATTTCTTGAAGAAGCTAGATGGTATATTCTGCACAAAGTACAAGTTCATATAATTAATATCATTATGAACAGTGAATACAAAGTGAAGAAATCAAAACAAGTGGGATAACAAAATTTGAGCTTGACTTTAACTTAAAAAAAAAAAAAATGCGAGCTTGACATCAAAAGTCCTGTACTCATTAGTTATCGATTTCATGCTCAAACTCAAAATTTTGACCTAATATAAGAGCAAGTCCCTTATATATCGGGAAAATTTTTTTTTAGGGGAGTTGGACGTTCTACCAATTAGGCCACTAAACACTAGATAATATGCCCAAGTCCCTTAGAGATCCTACTATATGTAAAACCCACATATGCATTGTCTGTGTTATGATTGAATTTTGGGTAAAAAATGTTAAAGGGTCATAAGTTAATAACCTTACCAGATAACCAGTAGGTTGAGCATAAGTTGGCTTTATAACTACTTGGAAGAAAGGGTATTCAGAAACGAATTCTGCTGCTGCTTTAGAAGCTCCATCATTCTCTTCAATGGTCCTTAGAGCCCTCGAACGCGACCCTAAAGTCCTCTTAGTTATCTGCTTGCCACTGTCGTTGAGGGTTGACTGCTCATGCTTACCTGCATTATATATATAAAGGTGTGTGATAATTACTCTTATCTTTTAAGGCAAGTTGGAAACTTGTATGGTTTGCTAGAAATCAACAATTACTTACATGGTTTGAATGTCTGATTTTCTTGGAAAACTGTATGTCTGATTTTAAGTTGTTTTTGAATACTCTTCCTAGTAGGGATTGAAACCTCCTTTAGACACGCATTTTTTCCAAATATTTTGACATAAAACATTGAATTACCACCATAGTAGAATATTAGAAAATCTCCATATTCTAATGAATTGTCGTGCACAAATTTGTGCCAACCATTCTGAAAATACAGATTTTTATCAACCATGTTCAGTTCCACCCTCCATGATCTGCTTCCATGATTCGTAATTGTAGACTTGGAAGGTATAACTCCATTGAAATTCTTAACGAATGCTGGTGGGATTCGCTATAACAGAACAACAATTATTATTTTTAAAAAAAAAAAAAAATACAAATTAAATATAGACATCATGATTTTTATTTTTATTTTTCATGACAACAATCACAAGAATTAATCAGAGTATATATATATATATATATTTTGGGTAAGTAAATTGATTGATAGAGTTGTTAGGAATTGGAAAAAGAAAGAATACCAGTTGCTGAGAGCTTTGATCTGCGAGATAAACTTTGAAGAACTGAGGACATGTATCAGAGAAACTGAACTTCCTGCTAGGTTTCACCATTGTTGTTCACTCGAAAACCCCTACAAAACCGTAAAAGCCCTAACCCTAACCCTAACCCTAACCCTAACCCTAACCCTAATAAGTCTTCAGGAATGGGGTAGTCCACACTTTCTGAAATACAAGAATGTCGTTTTTGTAATGGACTAAATCTACCCTTTTTAGTCCTTTCTTCTCTCTCTTGATTCATGTTTTTGTAGCTAACTTTATGTGAATGGATTCGTTTCCTTTTTTACAAAGTTTCCTTTCTCGATAGATCACTCCTATGAAGACTATGATGTTGTTTACTCTTTAAGAATTATATACTCCGTATGACCTAAATAACTAAAAAAATAAGAATTTATATTAAGAATAAGAATTATTAATTTTTTTTTTTTTTTTTTTGAATTAAACAAAGAGTTGCAAAAAGAAAATAACAAATTATTATTACTTATTAATTAGACTCTAAAAGTTCTACCCCTCCCTGATAGTAACCCTGACCAATACATACGGAGTATTTAATACATTCATCTTTATTGTGTCTGTTATGAATTTTTTGTTTGTTACTTATTTTTTTTTTATTTATTTATCTCAACGTTATTAATAATTAATAACTATTAATTAGACTCTAAGAGTTCTCCCGCCCTATCTCTATCGAACAGTAACCGGACCAAAGCATATTGAACTCGTACTGTTTGTCCCTCAAGGAGTCCAATCCTATTAGGTTCATAATTACTATACATATCTTGATTGGTACACGATTACAATTTACTCTTTCATTCGGATCTGTCCACGGGTTGCCTTGCTATTGGCTTCTTTCCTAGACACATGTCTCACTACTATTGGAGAAGAAATTTCCCTCCACAATATACTTTGTTTTTCTTTTCTTTCCTACATAAAAAGAAAAAAAAAAAAATCTGATTATAAACAATAAGAAAAAGCAAATTCGACACAAAAAAAAAAGTGACATATGAAGTGGCTTAGTCAAATATACATGTGAACACCACTAGACATTAAATGAAAAAAAATAAAATAAAATAAAAAACTAAAAACTATATATCACGTTGATGTAATAGAACGAAAAACATAATCATATTCACGAACTCTAAAATTGCTGAATGTGCAAAAAAAATATTACTCTTATCAATTTATAAATAGTTACTAACTCTATTAACTAATAATTATAACATAAAAAAAAAATGTGCGCACTTTTATAAGGCATGGAACATTCTTTTTGGTTTTATATGTCATTGCCTCGGCGGGAAGTTCATTTGAGTCTCTATATTTTGGCTCCTCGTATGAATTATGTTGTGCAAGATGTTATTATCTTTCAGCTCATCATCTTTTTTTAGACCAAATAGTTATTTTGATAATAAGAATTTAATTTATTTTATATATTTTTAGTTGTATATTTACCTATCTAATATAGTCAATTTATTACTTTATATACTTTTTAAAAGTTTTTAATATTATTTTATATACATTTTTTAAAACGTTTTTAATATTAGTATTAAGGAGTTTTTGAAATAAATAACTAACTAATAGTCTATTACTATCACTTATTAATTCCATCATTCTCAAAATGGTACTAGTAGGATATATGCGGGCCGGCCCTGGCCTAGGGGTCGCCTAGAGCCTTCAATTTGGAAAGGCCTCAGGCCCGCCCTGCTTTGATGCCTTTAAAAGGAATTTATTATTTTGGGCTTTTGGGCCCAATACTCGTCATTCACAGGTAATTAAATTATCTGAATGCTAGGTGGTTGGATTTAAGGGTTTAAACTTTAAGGACGGACCTCAAATGACTATCACGGGCTTTTGGGTCTAAACCTTCTTTTTGTTTTAATTCTTCCACCTGTTTTTTGCTTCGTAAAGCGGAATTGGGCCTTACTAGGCCATTCGTATCCTTTTATATAATTCTCAGTTTTTTACCCCCAAAAAAATGAATAATATTAACTGCTTTCTTCAATGTTGCTTTAAACATTGATTTTGTTTTTATTTTTTGTTTTTGTTTTTTTATTTTTATTTTTATAATTGAATTAACTTAATATGAATTTAAACCAGATAAAAAAAAAATATGAAGGGAGCATAAACATGTATTACAATAATGTAAGAAGAAGAGAAAGAAAGAGAAGGCAACATATACAAAGAGATTATTAGAAAGAGGAAATTGAACAAACCAAGCAAAAAATACAGCCATCCAAAACTCTATGTGTAGAGAATGGATTTGATAATGTGAGTTGCACAATGCGGAATGGGTGTGTGTAAATATGGTATAGATAAGCAACCAAGGATTTTTTTTTTTTTTTTTTTTTTTTTTTTAATTGTTGTAAAAATCATCCAACAATTGTAAAAATCTCGAAAACTGTCATACGATCTCAAGCGAAAAGATCCACTCTATATGAAGCAAAGTACAACTCGGTCTCACACTCATTTGTTCTACCAAAAACTAATTGATGACTGTCCCTAACTTTGCAACTCCCCCGTTTAACAAAGAATCTTGCCAATTACTAACTAGTTTACAATGTCCGCAAACCAAGGCAAGTTCCCAGTAGCAATATGAAACAATTGCTCATCAAGAAAAGTATCATGGATTGATATTTCATTGGGAGAAGATTCAACAACCAATTGAGATAGGTAGTCAGCCACAACATTCTCAGAGCCCTTTTTGTCCTTGATCTCAAAGTTGAATTCTTGTAGCAAAAGAATCCAACGAATCAATCTCGGCTTGGTCTCCTTCTATGACAAAAGATGTCTTAGTGCAGTATGGTCAGAGTACATAATCACTTTGGATCTGAGGAGATAAGAACGAAACTTGTCCAAGGCAGAGACAATCGCTAGCAACTCTTTCTCGGTTATGGAATAATTCAATTGAGCATCTGAGATAGTTTTGCTAGTGTAGTAGATAGCATATGGAAGCTTCTCCACTCATTGCCCGAGTGTGAGATATTATTTTCTAATTAGCAATTATTGGAAACAAAACAAGTCTTAGTCGAGTTGTAATTTCAAGTTACTATATCGGGATCAACAGAGACTATGGAATTGGAAAGTTGTTCAAAGTTACCATGACTAAGATCATTCGAAGAAGGTAAGAACAACACATTAAGAAGGATTCTAAAAAGGTTAGGACACATTCTATACTTGGTATATTTTTCAGACTTAACCAAAACTATGTTTTCAGCCTTCAGAGCCTCAAAAATTCAAGTCTGCTAGACTTGAACCGGTTCAAGGCTTCAAGATTGGCTTCGAAATTTCCTTTGCCAATCTTGAACCGGTTCAGCACTCTTGAACCGGTTCAAGAGGTCTTGATAGCCTAAGGAAACTTTGCAATCCTGTTTCAGAATTCTTTCCTATTTGGTTTAGAACTGTACCAAGTCCTATGCACAAAAAATTTCATATTTTCAGAGGGATTAGGACATTCTAAACTCTATATAAACCTTGTTAGTCATATAGGTTTATGAATGGCTTTATCACTACAACTTCATTATTCTCAATAGCCTTAGGAAGATTATTTTTACAGAAAATCTAAGAGATTTATCTGTCAGTCTTTCTAGAATATACATATAAACACATAGTGAGTTTAGAGTTGTGTTATTCAAATCCTAATCGTGATCATACAGTTGCATCTACATCGATCAGAGAAAAGCAGATCTACTTCTATATCGAATTCAGATATTGAAGAACATAAGTAAAAATGATCATAATTTGAAAAGGTCAAAGCATTCGAGGAATGTTTTTTGATCTATTTGCTACTCTTCTATAAAGATCAAGCATAAGCCTAAGGTCAAGTTGCTGTTGGACGGGACGTCACAAAGCTAGATGATTGTCAGCTATTGGTATTTGGTATAACGATAGGGTGTGAGCTAGAGTCAAAGTTCAGTGTACTTTGTTTCAAACATAATGAATTGGTTTCCTTTGGACTGCACAGTCCATGAGGTTTTCTCGCGCAAACAGTTGACGTATTTTATCAACTGGGGTTTCCTCGCTAAAAATTCTGGTGTCATCTCGAACTCTTTACTTTGCTTTATTTTATATTGCAAGATATTAATTTATTAATTGCTAAAATAAAGAAAGTTAGAAAGACACAGATCTGTTTCTAAAAATACAGAACTTTCTAAATATTTCGCTGCGTATAACTCACAAATTAGTATCAGAGCCAATCTCTACACATTGAGTTGATCCTTGTGGAAAGTTTTGATTGATTTTAAAAATTTGTTTTTCGTCATGTCTACGTGGTCCTTTGTTTGAAGGAGATATTTATAATTTCGGAAATAAAAGATGAGAGCCTATTTCCAAAATTCAGGAGGTAAAACTTGGGCTATAGTTGAATTTGGCTATACACCACCTACAGAAGATAAAACTTATGACGACCTTGGATTTTACAAACCCAGTGTGTCCTGTGATGACCCGAAATGGATCCAAAATGCGAAAACTAAACATAAACAAGTCTTTAAAGATGTACATCATCCCTAAGACAAAAGAATGGCCTTCCGAGCAATCCCGTGACTCAATGGAAGCATGACCAAAGTTAGGGTTTAAAACCCTCCAAGGAATGGACCAAGGGCAAAATGGTCATTCCAAACTAAAATGGGTGCCACCGTGCACACCATTAGAAATACAATGAAAAATTAATAAAGATAGACTCAAAAATCATTTGATTAGGAGTTCGGACGGCAAAGATATCAAGTCTTGAAGTCAAAGAAAGAGAAACCCCGTCCTGGTTCGAATTAAATCCTGACACTACCTCACTAAAACTTGAATATATTGAGGTACAAATGGAATATGAAGCTATAATTGATTCCATTGGAAAGATTATTTCAATGCAGTCAGTTTAGACTCAAGAACGGACCAATTCAAAGTTAAAACAAAAAAGATAAGACAATTTGAAGTCGGCAAAGCTGAGTCAACCTGAAAAATGAGGCTCGGAGTGCTCGACCATGAATAGTGCTCATTTGACTATCGTGTGGCTATCATAATTAGGCCTAAGCCCACTGTCCAAAATTGGAGCACTCGTCCCCCGTGGACGA